AGGAGGTGTTGGTGTTGGTGTTGGTGGTTGTGGTGGTGGTGGTGGTGGAGGAGGAGGAGGAGGAGGAGGAGGAGGAGGAGGAGAGGAGGAGGAGGAGGATAGCACGAGGACCACGACAAGTCGGACAAGTAAACGATTACTTGAAGCAACAAGAAGCAAGTGCGAACAAGAATACAACAGATACCTGATGCTCTTTCAACAACTTGCATCTTGAGATCTCATGTGGTGTCTCATTTTCACATCTAAAGGCATCGCTGTTTGAGAACGCAACATGTTCTTCTGTTTGCAATAGATGTGCTTAATCTCAAAACAAAGATCCACCTTTCATCACATGTTTACGACATAGCAAATAAAGTTTTGGTCATCTCTAATCTACAACAAGTCCAGATCACACTCGAGCCCCGACGACATCTTCGGGCTCAGCTCGATCGAGCCGATGTGAATCTGAGCAGGGTGACAAGAATCAAAATTGAAGAAAAGCAGTGAGGAAAGAGAAACATTCTTCAACACACATACAACAATGAGGAGGAACAAAATCCAGAACAACAAAGACCGGGAAGACAGAAGAACATAAGAAGTGACAACATTTCAACACAAACCAACGAAACAAAAATAAGGCCAGGCAGAACCAACACTTTGTTTCTTCACCTGCTGCCCAGCTCGAACAGGACAGAAGATGATCTTGACGGACAGGGATGTGCAATTAGCAACAAACTCAACCCTTATCGCCTTCCCGCAGTTAGCGCGCAAGTTTGTCTTCCTGTACACCACCAGCGCCTCCTCCTCCCTCTCGTCTCTCCTCTCCTCCTCCTTGTACAGATCCGGGTCGTCCATCCCTGCCAGCCTCTGGCCCCTGATCGAATGCTCGGACAGCACCTCGCCTGTGCGGGAGGAGAGGATGCGGATTGTGGTGCTGATGTTCTGATCTACCTTGAGGCCTCGGAGGCACAGCAGATGCTCGCGGGTCTCCTCCACGCGCACGTTCTCCTGCTCGCGCTCGTGGTGAGAGGGGGGAACAGGAGGAGGAGGAGAAAGGAGGAGGAGGAGGAGGAGGAGGAGGCGGAGGAGGAGGAGGAGGAGGCGGAGGAGGGGAGAAAGACAGCAGGAAGAAGGGTTGGAGGAGGGGATGATGAAAGAGTAGACGAGAAGGATGCATGGACGTGGGAGGAGGGAGCGCGTGCTCTGTTGACCTGTGCGATCCATTCGCAGGAAGAGTCGGCGGTGGAGAGGATGATGAGGGAAGAATCGGAGGCAGCGTACTCGAGCGACTTGGAGGCTGCCCACGCGTTGTCCACAAGGCACTGAGAAGAGAAGTGGTAAGAGGAGGGAGCGAGGGTTGAAGGGGGAAGAGACGGAGGGAGGTAGGTAGGGAGCTAGGAAAAGAGAGCTTGTAGGGAGACAGACGGACGGAGGGAGGGAGGGAGGGAGAGGGGAACAGAGGTAGCCGGGGAAGACATGGAGGAAGGAGGCGAAAGCGGCATGCGCAGTCGAGCTCGGAGGTCTTACGAGTTGCAAGCCCATGCAGTTTGAGACATCCATGAGCCCATCCATGTCCCCCTCTGAGAAATGATGAGACAAGGAGAGCATAGAGGAGGAGGAGGAGGAGGAGGAGGAGGAGGAGGAGGAGGAGGAGGAGGAGGAGGAGGAGGAGGAGGAGGAGGAGGAGGGCAGGCAGGGACGAGAGGACGTAGGACAGTAGGCGGCAGGGGAACCTATGGTGTTGTAAGGCGGCTGCCAGAGTAAATTATTTCCCAACCATTCGAACTCGAAGGAATTCTGAAGAACGGAGGTGAGATGATTGAACAGAAGAACAGTAAGATCTGACGTCAGCATGTCTGATCTGTCTCGACAAGTCGACGTGAAGATTTTCAGTGGACCATCAAAAGAATGTCACGGACAGCCAGCAGACAAGATTGATACTGATGACAACCTTGATCGAGCTTGAGTGGTTCCTTGCAAACGTCAAGATTGTCGCGAAGCATCTCTGAGCATAACTGCTCCACCTCTCCATCATCTCCTCCCAGGACTCGTTCTCACTTTCCTCCTGCTCAGCAGCGTCAGCGGCTCCTCCACTCCTCCTTGTCCTTACCTCGCACTGGATCGATTTCAACCAGAACAGCTTGCATGCTGAGCGGTGCTCCGTCGCCGATGATGTTGGAGAACTTGCCGTCCTCCGCCACAAGCTCCAGACACGGCGAGGACGAGGATGAGACACAGCAGTTTCCTGCGGGGCGGGAGGTGGCGGAGCGGTCGGAGGGCAAGAAGGTTGGACAGAGGAGGTTGAAGTTGACTTGACTGCAAGAAAATTTCATAAGGGAAAGGGGGCAAAAGTTGCAAGACAGGATGTAGTGAATGCAAGCACTGAATGTATGAATGTATGTTACGGATGTATGTTACGGATGCATGTTATGAATGTATGTTGTGATGGTCGTGTAATGCAAACGTTGATGTTCATTGAGAAATGTTGATGAGTGTGTTGATTCTCAGCCACGTTTCTCACCTGCAGCCTCCCAGTCTGAGTGCATCCTTTGAGCTCGCATGTACTGCACCTGCGCCGTTGTTGAGGGAGGAAGGAGAACGTGTCGGGGGGGGGGTGGGGAGTGGGGATAGCTGAGAGACAGAGAGAGAGGGAGGGAGGAGGAGAGGAGAGGTACGAAGGAAAGTAACAACAAAGAAATACTTGAAGATTCCTGTTGAGTAGAGAAACGTCTTGATAATGTTTGAGTCGTTCACTGAATTCCAACGCAATGACCTGTAGAGAAGACAACATGAGGATAAAACTAAGAAAATAACACGAAGGAATCCTTGAGAAAGCAAACATTACAACTCACTTCTCGTGACTTGCTGCTCTGAATCCTCTCGATGGTGTCAAGAATAGCGGAGGCCCTGCAAGAGGCAAGTAGTGTAAGAATTAATTGCTCATGGTTGCAATGAAAAGAACATTGATCACATCACATTGCAGATCACATATCACATCCTATATCACATCACATCACATCACATCACATCACATCACATCACATCACATCACACATGACACTACACCACCTGTCGTTTGCGAGGTCTATTGCTCTCAACCGTTTCTGCATGCGAGCTTTCGCCTCTCGAACTTCATCCAACCTTGACAAGTCGATGAGCGCGGGGAAAGAAGATGTAAATCTCACTTGTTCTTCAGCTCTTGCATCCCCATCATCTTCGACTCCTCGTACTTGACCTGTTTGCAATCAAGATCAACAGAGACTCGTCTTGGACGGCAGAGAATCCACTTTGCAATCCTTGAGCTGGGTCTCCATGTTCTCAGCCGACAACAACTTGCTGCTCTCAGGGTTCAGTGACAAAAGTTTGAAATGTTGAGATGAAAACACCTCTGCCATGTCTCCAGTTCGAGGATCTGAGGTTGTTGGAAAACGGTCATCGGCATCGCAAGTCACATCGCAAGTCACATCGCAAGTCACAAAGTCGAAGACCAGCTATACGTGACAACATACAAAACCAGAGTCATCAATCCAAAGAAAGTGTTCGTAGTAACAATGATGAATATCAGCAGCAAAACAACTTATAACGCAAAATGAGCGATTGACGTTCTCACATTCTTTTGAATGGTCTGGAGGATATCTTTGATCTGAAAATTCACCTTCATTGCAAGATATGAGATATCAAAGGCTCCATACCTCAACCTCGCAGTTTGATTTTGACTCAGCAGTCTTCAACAACTTGCATGACGAGTGTCAAATGTCAAACAAAAATCTACATCGAGGAAGAAACCTCAGAGGAGATGTATTCTTCAGAATCTCTGCAGCGACGTGTAAGGAACGGTACTTTCAATGTGACACCAAATATGGTGAGATGTAGCTGAAACAGACAAGACAATACAAGACCAGGGCAGAGCAGGGAAGGAACCGGAAGACAGTGGATTCGACAGAAGAAAGCAAGAAAGAAAGCAAAGAGAATCGGCAAAGATGTTGCTCCGTACAACCTGCAACGATCATGGAGAGTTTCTTGGGACTGAGAAAGAGTCAGAAAGCGAGAGCGAGAGTGGGCGAGCAATAAATATCACCTGAACAAGAGATTTCTCCATCTGGTCTAGAGCCTCCAGAGAGCGAATCTAAAAGACAGGTCAGGAAAAGGAAAACGAAGTTGCAAGAGAAGGCAAGTGGGAGGGAAAGTACAGTGAGTGAAATGTAGGGGCAGGAGGCAGGAGCAGAAACGATCGGGCAAGAGCAAGGAGGACGGCAATATCATCCCACCGTCTCTTTGTGTATCCTCGTTGCCCGGAGGTCAAGTTGCTCCTTCCTGCTTGCATGCCCCTGCCCAGAGACGTCAGCGATTTCCACTGGAGGGTAGGAGGGTACGAGCAAACCTGAGCTCCGAAGATGTTGGAGATCTTCGTGCAGAGATCGTCATGCCTGCTTTCTCTTTCCTGCTCAACAGTGAGAGGGGGGCTAGAAAGGTTCTGCTGGGAGTCCAAAGGTGATTTTAAGAGCAAAGATGAAGTGGCAGGCTGAGGGAGTTTACAGCAGAAAAGGAGTGAGCCCAGGTGGCGGTGAAGGCGATAGAAGAAATGAGGGGAAAATAGGAAAAGGCGTGCAGCCGATTGAATCTTTTTACCTGATTCTTTGACATGATATCTTGTGACAAGACATCGATGGATTTGCGATACGCCTTAGCTTGCATCAACAAGGACTGAAGGAACTGCATAAGGAGGAGAAGCAAAGAGTGCCAAAGGCTGACAACCTCGAACCGGTCAGTCCCGTTGTGTGCTCGGTCGGCTGATTTCAGCTCGTCCGTGATCTTGCTCTGCGAATCTGACATGTCAGTCCTTCTAGAACGCAAGAAAACTCCGACCTTGTGATCGATGCTTCTTGTCACGATCTTCTTCAGATATCCAACCATCCCGTCATAGCACTCGGGAGGTGCCGAGCAAGTTGAGACATCGATACCGCCCAGCTCGCAAGAGCTGCTGATGTCGCGATCAGCAACCTCAACAGCTCTCTTGACAGTCTCCACAACAGGGGACAAGAGAGTTCTGCAGACAACATCTTCACAAATCAGATGACAGGCTTCTCTGCAATCTTCTGCTCCGTCCTCCATGACAGCCTCATAGGCTGCCCGAAGTCGTCTGACCAGACCATCGCCCACATGCCCAGCTGGTTCAGGCAAGGCAGCCATGTTGATCATGTGTTGAGATCTGTCTTGCGTTACATCCAACATGCTGCTCGACGTCGCGTTGTAGTCTAGATCGGGAAGTTCACAAGAAGCAACATCTTGCATCTGGAAATGTCGCGAATGTCATGACTCGGAAAGGTAGGGAACAGAGCGCAAGTCAATAACAATTGTTTACCGCATTGAGATGTTCGCTCTGGAACTGTAGAGGGGGCACAGCCGTCGTTTCCATACACTTCTTCCTCGTGTAGTCGTTGATGACTTCGAGGATGTTCACCTCATAGCTCATGACAGAAGACGGAGACTGAGGAGCGAGGTGCCAAAGGTATCTTTGATCAACAGCTTCATGACCACCATCAGCTCGCAAACAGCCATTCTCCAGATGTAAGGCAGAGCATGTCGGTTCCACCATCACACTCCTCATGGAGCCATGTATCAGAGGGGAGCAGGAGGCGCTGAAGGAGATGGGAGAGGCTTTTCCAGAGGGAATGAAGTCACTGGTGTCAAGATGCATCTTGTCTGTTATCCGAAGTTTCGCCTCCCTCCATCCCAGGTGCTGCCTCTGCCCTTCCTGCCCTGCCGAGCTCGGGCTTGTCAGACGAGCATGGTGGTGGAGGGCAGGGTTCTTGGAGTCCCACATGCAGATCGTGGGCCTATCGCTTGCTATCACTCCTTGGTAGGGTGAGTTTGGGTTGCAAGGATCCAACATGCTCATCCTTGCAGGATGTCAACCAGCGCTTAAAATGTCCTGCGAGAACAGCTGCGTCAAGCAAGCGATGCGTGTAGGTTCGAAGTTTGCTGACTGTTCTGATCATTTTTCCCTTCCTCCAACAATGTTCTGCTCCAGGGCTGATTCGCTTTTCTCATCACACGACGTATCTAGTCATACCACGACGATCGTCTCCCCTAATCAGTACACCTACTCTTCGACATATCTCTGTTAACATGTTTTGCTGAAAAATCGTGGACAACTGCCCGATCCCTTCTGTCCTTGTCTGAAAGCAACAAACTTACGACGCTGCTGAATATACACCTGGACTTCAAGACCTTTTGAATCTTCAATACAAATCCATTCACGTCATAATCATCAAATCTTTATCGCTCCTGTTTTGGATCGAGACCTTCAGTCCTTCCCGTTCTGATCATTTTTCAAGCGTGATCAATCAGTATCACTCTATAAGATCACCTGCAACATGTCTGCAACTGTTTTTCTTATGTCTTTCATTCTCAGCTATCTTATCTCTCCTCTCCTCACCTCTTCCCTCCTTTCCTCTGCTGCCTTTCTCTCCACCATTATTCCTTTTCACCGTCCAAACTCAAATCTTGATCTCAACTACCCGCCTAAAAAGGCCACCCTACCCCATTCGGTAATGTTTGGATTTGACTACCCACCCCTTCTATTTTCTTTTATCTCAGTACCGCCCCCTTTGTCTCATCGTTGTAAGTACAGTGTACCACCCACCCCACATTTATAACCCACCCTACGACTGAATTGATCTTTACGGCCCCCCGCGCCCAGTGGTATCGGGTACTACCCCAGTTGGGCAAAAAAGGGACCACCCGTCCAGCTCTCTGGAATTGACTACCCTCTATTTGACCTTCAACTACCCACCCTTGGAAGGACAAAGATCTCTTTTTGTTGGGGCAAATAGATAGAGGTTTTAACTTAACTTTGAGTAAAGATAGAGGTTGAGTGACATGCCGAGTCTGCCCCTTTTACACAAGCCTTCGGCCACTTGACTGTGACCGTACGGTCCGGGCCGCCGGCCCGGTGACTCGGTTACAGTCTGGAGTTTACTCAAAGTTAAGTCAAACACTCAGTACCGTAGGACAATCTGGCAGGAGAGTCGAAGAGGGAGGCTTGCCCTTGACACTGCGGCACGAGAGGCACCGGGCGGCAGGCCGCGCTTTCAAGGCTTTACGCGGCCAGGAGAACTTCCGGCTTGAAAGTCACGCCATAGTACGGTCATTGCAGTCAGTGGTGTGCCCGAGATCCGACGTGGCAGTCGGATGTAGACAATTGGGACGGTTTCAATGCCATGATGCCTGGCAGTCACGGTTCCGGCTTCCGAAGTTCCCCGCTTAGTTGCTCTTGGCCGGAAGCCCTAATCTGGCGTTGAGTTCAGCAATTAGAACCTCCTGCGCCTTGACCTGTTCTCAGGAAAAGTCAACCCCCCGTCCGTCAATAGTCGCTTGCACTGGACAGCGACGAGCTTACCTTTCCTTGCAAGTACGAGTTGTGCTCCCTCAGAGAGACAAGCGTGAAGTCGCTACACCCCAAGATACTCCCATCCCCCTCCTGGCCGCTTCCTTTATGTTTGGGGATCGCCAAGGGCTCTGCTACTTTGAGGGAAGACCCCGAGTGTACCAGGGCCGAGGCCTTGCCGAAGAGCAGCTCGTCGAAGTTGATCATGGGCAACCACGGACTCTGGGACCACCAGTTAGCATTCAGCAGTCCAAGGATGCGTGCTGAGAAATATCTGCCTCGTCCTGCTTCGATCGCGAAAGTCTTGATATCTGCTCGCAGGTTGGTCATCGTCACCCTCGACTCCCCATTACACCACTCACCTCCTCCCTCGCCACCTTGAGCTGACTCTCAAGCCCTCGGATGATCTCTGCTCTGTCAGTGAGCCCGCATCGTGCACTAGACCGCCAGGAGCGACCATGGTTCAGTCTTGGTGCAGACCCCTTGACCGACGACCCATGAAGCTGCCTCCTCAAGACCTCTACCATGTGCTCCTTCTCTTTTACCTGCTGTCATCTCACCACGGAGACTCTAGCGAGAAGACGCAGAACCTTGTCTTGGGAAACTTTCACTTCATTCTGAAGTTGAGCTATCAGCTCACGAGCTTCCTGGAGGTCTCCCTGAACGACGAGCGGTCACGTCCCAGCAGCGTCAGTTCCTTGATATCGCAGCCCCGTCACATGTGGGAGCGAGCGGAGAGATACCTGCAAGGCATGCTGGAACCTCAAGAGCTCGGAGATCCTTGCAGGCACATATCATTCGAACTCATTTGGCACCTTCAAAAGCTCCTCACCTCGAATCTGCTTCCTGAAGTTGCTGTAAACCTTTGGCTTGCTCTATGTTGAGAAGATTGATAGCACGTTCGGCTGCCCTGTACTGAGCCTGCACTAACATTCATCATCCCGATCCAAGGATCTTGACACTTGATCTCTTTCCTCGATCGTCTTCAGGTGTGATTTATACGGGGCGTCATTCGTCTTGTTCTGACAGAACGCTAAATTACAAACTCCTCTCTTCAACGCAATGATCCGATCTACATTATGCCTTTCATCTTGAACAACCAATACTTGTGACTTTATGTAAGCTTCTAGCTTTCTTTCAAGAGAGCTTGTCAGTCATTCAGCTTTGACTCGGTCAGTTATACCGAAGGTCGCGAACGAGAAGCTCTGCATACTCGAAAGCACATTGTATCCTTGAAATCTTATCATTAACGCTGAATCAATCCTGGTACTTTGCCTTTCTGACAGGACACAATTTTCCGATAAAGCTATCTCGTATTTCAATCTTTGCTGCTCGCTATACACTTCTCGTCAAGCATCAGGTTAAACATAACAAATGTATACAGTTCACATTGACTGTCATCAAGCAATTGTTTGCAACATTCGATCTCTCTGAAAAAGCAGTTTTCAGCGCTATCAACCTCAACGAAGCAATCACCTGTGCAAGTCTAGCGATTGAACAACATAGCCTGCAGTAGTATTGCATCATACTTGCCCTGAGGCTAAGACATTGACTTACTTTCAGACTCTGAGTATTTTCCCTGCCACTCTACAACTTTCGCTGATCGGAATGTTACAAGAAAGAAAATATACTTTTTTCATCGGAGTCTACCTTGAAGATCCAGAATCTCTCTCCGAACTTTAATCTTTGATGATACGTTCTCATCAGTCACACCAAAAAAACACATCAAGTAATCACCTCATCTCGCTCCGCTGCAGATTCTCGATCTGCAATCAACTGGACAGCCTGATTCAACAGAGCATCACAACACAGCACTCTTTTGAAACCATGAGTTATGGCCTATCAACCTGCTCAACCAGACTCCAGACGCAATGTTCCGGGTCTTCATTCAGACTTGTTTGCATTAGAGATTGTTTTAGTTCCTGCAAACAAACACCTGGCATTGCCTCAACTTAGTCATCTACGTCGTCTACGGTTTTCTCGCTCTCCTCCAGCACATGATCATAGGCTGACTGTGCTACTTGTTGCAGTGAGAGGGATAGCAGGGCAATGCCTCTCGTCCTTTTTCGGCCCGAGGAGGGGATTGGGCGGAATGAAGGGGCAGTCAAGAGCCTCAGGGCGAGGTGATCCAGCGAGGGGAGGGAGCGGCGAAGGGTGAGTTGGAGGAGGTAGAAAGAGTAGAGGGCAAGGAAGATCAGTGAAGAGAGAAGGAAGGGGCAGGAGAAGAGACCAGGGGAGTTGCTGCTGCTTGCTCACCGGCGTCTGACAGCATGGCTGGTTGCCCGAATTGTTTCGAAGGTTTTCAAGAACAAAGTTTGACCAGAGAACAAGCTCGCCTCGGAGGCGTAAGTACCCCGTGAACAAAAAGTTTATTAAGATTTCTTAATTGTTCATTTCTGCCCTTTATCCCCCTTCCTCTCTGAGGCGGTGTTGAAAACCATGAGCCACGGAGCCGGTCAGTGAGCCCTCGAGAAGCCCGGAACGAATAGCCAAGAGTTTTCAGTCATCAGATCTCAAGGTACTAAAACTTTAGACAAAGATCGTCTCCATGGTCGTGCATCAGCAAGGGCTGCCTTCCCATGTGGGGGAACTTTTGCAACAAACCAAACTTTTTCTTTCGATCTTCAGATGCCCGGCGGCTGGGAGAAGGGGACTGTGGCGCAATGAAGCTGTGGAGGGCTGAGCGATTGCTCCTCGACAGCATCCCGCGCCTCGCTCCTCTCGGCACCAAGCTTTGACCAGCTCCTCTGTCTCTACCGTCTTCACCGTTCCCCTTCATTCCGCTCGCACTTCCTCTCAAGACCTGGCTGGATTTCTCGATCTGGGAAGTTTACCCGTTATCCGTCACAGATTTTGTTGGCCAAAGTTTAGCTTCAAGCCATGGGGAATGTACTAGAGTCTGGGCTAGAGAAACGAAAGGAAAGTCTGCGGGTCTGTGGCAATTTCTGTTGCGAGCAGGAAACCCCGCCATTGAATGCAAGACTCGTTCGTTCGCCAGGTGCGATTGTTCGAGTGGTGGAATCACTGCCTTACATGAATGTTATCATCAAAGTCTGTGGTCAACCATCATCTCCAAACCATACATCTCCATCTCAGGTCAGAAGCTGTACCACGAATCAAAGACTTGACTTGAAACCGGATCCCAGGATGCTAGTGCTGGGATAGGTGCGATGATAAGCATGGACCCAAAATCTGATCGCCCGACATTCACGGCAATATTCTGTCCTAACGAGCACGGTGAACAACTCGGAGGATGTATGCGTTGTCCCGTGTCTTGATCATCCTGCAGATCTCGTCTCGCCATGCCCGAAGGTAGGAGATGTACTCCTAGAGATCGACGGGGTGTCTGTGAGGTCGGTGGAGCTGCTGTGATGCCAGATGAAGCTGACAAGTGTGAAAGATATAGCAACGTGTACAACATCGCGTCCAAGATGCTCGGTCCAGCAGGGACATCAGTGGAGATCCTTGTGTCAAGAGGAGAAGAGAACGTTCCGATCTTGATGAGGAGGAGATTGTTGAACGTCAAGGAAATACAGAACAAGGTCGGGGGCCTATCGAGGCAAAGCATCCGCCCTCTCGACATGACTATCATAGTTTAACAGTTTCCATAGTATCCAGCTTTGTAGAAAAGACTGAGAAAGATGATCTTTAAATGATTGAAATAAATGTGTGAAGGATTCTGATATCATCGCCCAACTCCTGCGCATGTTCTTCCATTTAGCTTTACTCTGATGTAGGTGTGTAATGATAAAGTCGCAAGAGTGAAGAAAGAGATATTCGCTGCCTGCGTCGCAAACCAATAGATCAGGGCAATCAAGATATGCACTGTAGCGTTCAAGAGCAAGTTTAAGCACCTGCACAAGGGACATTCCGGCTTATTTGCACACCATTCTGAGATGCAAGTCCAGCAGAATACGTGCCCTGATACACAAAACATGTGATTTCATACAGCAGCACTCTCTCTCTCTCTCGAGACTACCGCATTGCGTAGCCGTCGGATGTCTCCGTGAACTCAAGCAAAGCATGCACTTCTTCTTGTTGCTCGACGCTCCAGGGGTATTCGATGGATCTGCTGAGCTCACATCATCGCTGTCAGCCTCCTGCTGGAATACTTGCACATCCGCCTTGCTGATGGAAAGGTGTTACAATTGAGTGCCGCATGCAACCAATGGACTGACCCTAGCGATTTCACTCTAGTACCTAAATAATCGGCTAAGATCACAATTTCTTTGAATACAAGAAGCTTCGCCAAGATAGAGTACCTTGAAAACAAGACAAACTTCACATCACTAACTCGTTTCAAAATGCAACCTACAACGTGTTGAAGTCTCGATGACCGCGATTTGCTTGAAGCGAGATGTGTCGAATTTCAGCAAATCTGCTTTCAAACTGAGCTTGAAGCGTAAGATCAAAGAACAAACCTATGAGGAAGGCTGTAAAACATTCCATACATGTAGAATGCTGCAAGGTGAAGGCGGTTTGCCGCCTCGAATATTTCATTGCACATCGGAAGCGCTTGGGCAGCCATATGCAGCCATCGAGCCCTCGTCCTCCCATCACTCCCTTCGAGATTTCTCATGTTGTTCTGGCGAATGATTCGCATTTGAGCTATCTTCGCTCCTCTGTCAGTGTATGAACAAAGATCCTAGTGCACGATTCACTTTGGAAACGTAGGGAACGACGAGCTTCCAAACTATCAAGGCTGCCCTTTGAGCTCTCGAGGCAGAGGTCTCAGTATCAGCAGCAAGCTGATCAAGTCCATCAAAAGATAGTGAGGTGGTTGACTATGATTGCACACCTGTCGAACTTCGCAGTACTCTTCTCCCAGCGTAGGTTTGGCACTAAAACGAGTCAAGTTCAGTCAGCCGGGTCTTGACCAAAGCAAGGGATCTGTGATGCGACCTTCCTGTGGTCAAACCGAAGTACACTAGGCCTGCTATGTTCTCAATGGCGTTTTGATGCCTCAAAAGTTTGTAAGTTCAGCTCTTGATTCGCCTCGGACCACCTGGTAATCGCCCTCGCCCCCAAGACAGCTTGAATGGCATCAGCCAAAGCTTTCTATGGAGAGAGATGAGAAGGGACTCAGCTACAAAAGCAACCAGCCTTCAAGTGTGTGGTGTAATAATCATCTTTCTGCATTGCTCGTATCACTTCTGCCTGCTCCAGCTCGTCAAACCGCGGCAAAAACAGATCGACAACCTGTCCAGCCCACGGAAAGAAATTCTTGGAGTGAACCATGGAGTTTGCAGCATGAAAGTCACCATTAGAAGGAGCCTACCAAAACCATCCATGAGCGAATGCTGCTGCTTCGCAGCAAGCATAATAAGCAACCTCGACTGGTCTTGCTGTTGCAACTTCTTGCCCGCTCTCTCCGGCTGACGTTTCTCCTCCCTTCACGCGTCGGTCAGATGTTGCTGAGCAAAGTTACAAGCACCTCTGAGTAGATCGAGTGTCTCGTGCGAGCTCTGCTCGACGATGGCTCCATCCCGCTGTCTCAGGTCGTAAGGCTCCTGATCTATCTCTGAATGATACGCATGAAAGGATGCGAGTGAGGATCATGAGATCAGAGATGCAAGTTGGTATCGGTGTTGGTTACTATCATGTAGATCAATGACTCCTGCCTCTCACTTTCTAACTCTATCTCTTTCAAGTCTTCTCTCCAACCCTCCTGCCCATTGCCGGCAAGTACTACAGCCGCATCTGGCTATCTCAACGGGCCGTCATGAGTCGGAAGACCGGCGCCGGGTTCGGCCGCCGGGCACTGGCGGCGTCGCCGGGAGTCGGATCCGTGGCAGTGGTCGCGGCCGGGCGGCCCGGTCCCGGACGGTCCGATCTGAGTCCGAGGCTGTGATGAGTCGCCGACTCAAGCTAGGATCGGCTGCGCCGACAAAGTCCTGACCGCTCAGCGGCTGGTTCCGACAGTCACCAGGTGGCCCTACAGGCGGCCCGGGCGGAGTCAGGAGCAAGACCGCGGGCTCCTCAAGAGAGCAGGAGCGTCTCATGCCCAGGAGCGCTCATGGGACAAGCTCGCTTGCAATGGGACGGCGGGGGACGACGAGGAGAGCATCTACCGAGCAGTCTTCTTCCGGCGTTCCACGAGCAGGAGGGGGGCGGTCGGGTTCCAGCAGAAACCTGTTCTGAAGGAGCTGCATCGGCTCAGCCCCTCGACAAAGTCCTATGTGGTTTGAAACAACTTCGAATACATAATTTCAGGTGGGATTTTGAAGGGGATAATGTGAAAAAGGGGCAAACATGACAGGAAGCAATTGAAGATTAACTAGATAGAAGAAATGAGTGACAACGAAATGCTAGGAAGGAGAGGAATAGAGCTCCTCGATAAAGTGACGTATGCTCCCGATAGGCACGTCAATCTGCTTTCCATCCTCTGAAGTCCCGTCAGCTTGAAGCGATCGCAATCGCAATAGCTCCGCACTCACCTGAGATCTCATACGTCTCACCCCCCAGGCTCTTGAAACCTCCTGCGATGACTGTCAAGATGTGGAAAGGGAAGAATGAGGGGAAGTACTGAGATTGATCTCACTGAAAGATCCTCTCAACGCTTTGATCCGCACTTTCCCTGTAAAGAAGAAGTCAAGGAACGATGGCTGGAGCTAAGAGTTGGTCGGCAAAAGGAAGGATGTTGAAGGGACGAGATAATATCAGCTTCAGACCTCTTGCAATCTCGTCAGGAGCGACGAAGATCATATGATATGCTCCCGATCGATCAGCATAGTCGAAGATCTAAAGGAAGATGCGTTAGAGGTCTTCGTTCCCTCAACCTGCCGCCCACATTTCCGATGCGATTCTTTGGTTGCAGAGACAAGTCTACAATCACATTCGCCTGTCCAATCTTTAGCTCGACCCAGATAGAAATTGGCGCCCAGCACCTGACGGAGTTGCGATGTGATGCTGCAAGCATGGCCGAGCATTTCCTGTTGAGCTCCTACGTCACATGACTCATTCCATCGAAGTTCGAAGACCTGATTGTAAGCAGCAACCACAACATCGCAAGTCTTCATGGTTTTAGGCAGTAAGTTCCTGTGATCAAATACAAACTACTCAGCACAAGGTTGCAGCTATTGCACATGAAGACAAAGAGCAAAACACGATCTTCAGCTGACAAAAATGGAGCTGATCATGCATGCATGTGCTAAGGTATGCGAGTACCTCTTTGCAAGAACTTCCATGATCACACAATCCCCGAATCCAAACCCAACGCAAGGGATCTACGAGCCCTTGTCATCATGGGCAACCATGACTTCTTGTTACCTCGTGTTGTGCTCCATAAAGCTTCATCAAGTTGTCATATCTTCAGCTTTCAATCAGTCCTCCTCCCACCACCAGACAACCAGAAGGAACTCCACCTCCCTCCCCCGCAGATCGCTCGAAACTCTCCTGAGAGGTCAAACCCTTCCCATACGATCCCTGCACGTCAGCATGTCAGAAGGATGAACTCACTCTTCATTCCTTCCTGTGAGTTTCTCTTCAACCCCCCGCCCCCGCTCCCAGAGATGAGATACAATCTAGGCTCCAGGCTTTCCCCTTCCCATACCCTCTCTCTTTCCCCTTGTTCCCTCCCGGCCCTTCCCTTTTCCTCTTGATCCTGCCTCCCCCTCCCCCCCCCCTCCTCCTTCTCTTCCACTCCCTCCTCTTCCTGTGTAGTACGCAAGCCCTCGGACAACGCTGGCATCGAAGGAGACATAGTCCTTGACCTAGAAGAGACGCCGAGTAATTGACAGGCTCGAACAGCACGACAAACTCACTCCGTGCGAGTCTAGCAGGGAGAAAAGTTGGCGGAGCTCGTCAATGGCAGCGCGGAGCTCAGGGACAGCAGCATGCGTTTCTCTCTTCAAGTCACTGTAAGGTGAAGCACATGAGTCTTCAATCTTCTCCTCGTCATCGACTGACCGGATCGTCTCTTCGAGCGACTCGAGCGAAGTGCACGAGGCGATCTTGACAATGTTGAGAGAACAATCATGCTGTAAGGATGTCAACGAGGGAACACGTGGGTGGCTGAACGATCACTTGCAAGCTATGAGCGCTCTCCAGGTCCTCTACAACTCGATCTCTTCCAATCTGCCGGGAGATCAGTGGAGGATCGAACGCTAAAACTGCGAGCCAACCTTGTCTATCTTGTCGAGGATGATGCAGATTGACGAGAAGTTTTCATCGGGCACATCCATGATCTTCAACGCTGAGTTGAGGATCTTACGAGAGTTCACCTTACAAGCCAAGTCAGAGCAGCAGAGTTCCTGTCCTCACATACCTTGATGCCTACATCCCCCGAGCCCAGGCCGAGGGACTGGAAGAGACTGACGGTAGCTGCGATCAGCTCAGCTTCAGCTGCCACGTTCTGCAACAAGGAGCTGAGAGGAGCGGAGGAGACGTCGATGCTCGATAGAGCAATATCACTTTCACTCCAACAATGTCCATGTTCCACTGATAGTGCTCCCGCTTCCTCCCCCTCTGTGCCTTCTGGGTAAGAGCGAAGTAGCAAGGAAGGTCAGTCACGGTCTTGCCTGCACGTTTTCGAACCTCCAGCACTGGCATTGCCGAGGACGAGGGTGAGTGTAGGAGCAGATGGGAGACACGGACTGACCTGAGGGATGGAGAACCATTTGAGAGGGAAGAACAGCTCTTTTTCCCTCGATATGACCATCCGAGCCAAGCTGGGAGTCATTTCCGGCCTCAATGTCACATTGTACCCATCCTAGCAGCCTCGTCAGGTCCTGCACACGTGCCAGGACTCTCTTGCATCACCTTGTCGACAAAGTTGTACATCTGCCCCGTGATCTCCTCCCCGGACTTGCGGGTGTAAAGAACTTCATGCTCCAACACAGGAGAGTCATACTCTACACGAGTGTCAGACATCTCATGATAGTTGTCGTGATAGGGTGCACCTTGGAAGTTGAATCTCTTAGATACCTGGCGGAAGCTCTCGAACAGCCACGACCGGCGTGCAAACTGTATCCAGATTGTGTCAAGACCAACAATCAGAAGGCACATGTTCACATCTAGCAGATACATGTTCAACTGTAGCACCCAGTACACAAAGGGACAACATGGACAACCGAGATCAATCAGAGATCATCGAACTCTCATCATGGTACCTCGTCCGGGTAGAAGTCCCTGGTTCCGACAGGAGGCTCCGTCGGGACCTTCGCGACTTTGACTTTCTTCCCCTTCTTCGCATCCCTCAGATGGGTCATCCCCTGCGGCGCCATGTCTTGCTGCCGGATCGTCTCAACCGTCTGCCCTCCTTGCGAGGCGATGGAGCAGCTTCCGGCCATGGACAGCAGCAGCAGCAGCAGCCATGCCTTCCCAGCCCCCACCGCCATCACGGACCGGACGCAAGATCCTGAGGCGGGTTTGTTGAAATGTCTCACCTATAGTCAATATTGAACTGTGTGGATCTGTAGTCAATATCTAACGATCTTTGACTTGCGGCGACAACATGGCAGGAAAAGGGCGTTGAGGGAGAGGAGGAGGAGGAGGAGGAGGAGGAGGACGTACAAGACATCGGAGCATTGGTCTGGGAAGAAGATGGAAGATACCTCCAGTGCCTCTCTCCCTGCCTCCTTCGTCGATGGAGATCGGATCGGATCCTGACTGGACAGCCCAGCATGAAAAGACTGCAAGGTGCCGTGGATGTCGTCTTGTGATAGTCCGATCTTTGACGTTGCACGCGAGCAGTGACAGAGAGCAGCTTTGACAGCGGTCCTCTGTCGGCTAGGAAGGCAAGAAACCTTCCTCCGATCTTTCCCAAGGGGCTCATCGTGAGCTTCAAGGTTGAACAAGCCCACGTTTGCGCTGTCGTGTACTGACATGAAAGCAGGCGGATGGCAAGAGAACATCCATGACGCTGTCATCTGACAGGTCAAGCCTGGCATGCTCAACGACTTGAGACTGAGCAAGTGTGGACAGGTCCAGTCTCGTGCCATACATCCCTGAGGAGGGAAGGACTGTTCGCCCCGCTCCTAAGTGAGTTTCTACTACCTCTCACTCTGTCCCTCATTGGCATTCACCATCATCCCAGTCTACAGGAGGATTCAGCATCTGACGTCTATGACTCCCCCGCTTTGTCCTCCCCTGGCATGTCTGCTCAGACCTCGAACATCTCCGAGCACAGAGATAACCTGAGGGCGCATGCGCAGTCTGAGGTGAAGGCCAAGATAGACGAGCTACAGCAAGGGCACGTGCAGATGAAGGAGAATATGATGAAGGAGAATATGATCAGGGCCGAGTACCTTGCGAGCAACTTCACTGGGAAGCATGATAGCGGGGAAGACAATAGCTCCCAGCTCTTCTCGAGGACCGGAAGTCAGACCTCAACGGCGTCGTCGGCCAACGAGTTTTTCCTCACTGAGGTTGAGAACGCCGAGGACTTTGCGTCGAAATTTGCATCAGTGCGGAGGAAGACTTCGATCGTGCTGAGCAGCATACAGAGATCTATCGATCAGAAAAGTGTGTTCAATGCTGATGTTGGGGATAACTCTCGTGAGATCGTGCAAGACGGGTTGTCGCGAGACACCTTTCAGAGCAAGATTCCATCATCCTCTCAAGCAGAGGAGACGACTGTAAATGTTGAGGAGAAGGTTGTAACGGCACAGGCAGCAGCAGCAAGTCCACTCATAGAAACGGGTGGAGAAAGTCAGCAGTTCGAAGAGGGCAATGTCGAAACGCAAACTGCCGCAGACTTGGAGAAGGAGGAGGAGCAGAGCTTGGTGGGCGGGAGTCGACAACGTACACAGCAGGAGGAGAGGAAGGCAGAAGCTCCTGTTTTAGACAGACTTGTGGTGGAGCATGACATAGAGCCGACCGAAGGCAGAAGTCAAGGGGTGTTCGAAGAGATCGCAACGGTGAGTTGTTGTTGTTGTTGATGATGATGATGGAGATGATGATGATGGAGATGATGATGATGGAGATGATGATGATGGAGATGATGATGATGGAGATGATGATGGAAATGATGAGGATGAGGATGATGAGTTGTTGTTGAGGTGACGATGAATTTGATCATGAAGACAACGATGGTGGTGATGGTGGTGGTGATGATAAGGTTGTTGTGATAGCGATGTGGAGGTGGTGGCTCTGAGCTACGAGACAACATTGACTTCTATGAAACAGTCAGCGGGTCAGAGCGGAACAAAGGCGCTGACAGTCGAGTCTGCATTGACGGAGCTTTATCAACTCCATGACCTCAAGGCTCAGATCTCCCGGTTCCCCTCCCTTCCCCTCCTCTCCCCTCTCATCTCATCTTCCCCCCACTCGACTTCTCTCACCTCCTCTTCCCTCTCCCTTCCCTTTCTCTGCTCATCCTGTGTCGACTTTTGCAGGTCAAACCTCGCCCACATCTACGACTCTGCGCAGCAGGAGAGGACGGGCTGGAAGAAGAAGATCCGGACGCTGAGCACGAAGATGTCTCAGATCTCGTTCCCCTATGCCCTCTTGGTGTATCAGCCGATGACAGACAAAGTCACCCTCCTCTCTGTGTGGGGAGAGTCCATCTCCGAGGTATGAGCCGCATCGGTCCGAGATGGCAGTGTAGAGAAGAACAGAGCAGAGCAGAGGAGAGTCAAAGAAAATGAGGAGCAGGAGTAGGAGCAGCAGGAGGAGGACTTACTGGAAGGGAGGGAGAAGAGAGTAGATTCTCTCATTCTCGTCTCGAGCGTGAACTGAACTCGTCGCTCAGGTATCGTCTTGTCCTTTCTCCGATGTGATTGTCAAGAAGCGTGGGGAACGGACAGACGGCAGCTCCAACATCCCTGCCGGGACTGTGCAGGTGACCGTTGGACCCGCTTCCTCGCTATCCTCTTTCTCTCTTTCTCTCCTTATCTCCTCTCCAGATTCGCATCCCTTCTGTCTCCGCGCTCCCTCCTACCGTCCTTTTCCCTGTGGATGTCTGGACCAAGATCGTGGAGGGAAGGAGCCAGAGGAATATTCATCGCACTCCTCCTCCTCCTCGCACTGGTGCTCGCTCTGCGGACTTCACTCGCAGCCTCTCGAGGACTTCCTCGAGCCTCGACGGGGCCCGGGCAAGGAGCCTGCGGGACAGAGCGGCCACGTCGTCCTCTCAGAAGCTGGTGGAGAAAGACCTGCCGAAGACAGTTGAGGAGCTACGTAGGCTGAACAACTACGTTGGTTTCGTGATTCCGGTGAGCTCCATGACTGCTGTAGAGTTGGAGTTCTGCATGTCTTGAGGTAGAAGGAGGTCGTTCCATTCAAACTGCACAACGAGCCTCTCCCTTAGATCTCATGACCTGACATGCCGGCGGCAGGGAATGCACGATGATGTGAATGTTGAGATTGTCCCTCTGCACCTCAGCGGGTCCGTCTCCTCCTGGTCTCCCAACGACGGGCATCAGGTGGAGGAAAGCTGAAGAATCGACGTTGCGCGTGACAAGTCTGAACGAGCAGGAGCAAGAGATCATGCCGGGGGTCAGCAAAACGATTGTATCGGGGGCTACACCGCAAGGGGACAAGATCAAGACAGATTCTCTAGAGGCAGGAAAGGGTCAGAAAGAGGACAAGGGGGCCGAGGACTCTGGTGACAAGGACAGAACGTTTACAATCAAGGAAAGTGCAGAGCTTTCACCCACCAACAAACTTCGTTTTGCTGAGGTGACAACCTGCCCGAACTGCTTTTCAAAACTCAGTTTGACAACTGCAGGTCGTCGCGCTCTGCGAGGATCTTTTCATGGACGAGCTGGGAATGGACAGTCTGGTTGACATCAGTGACGTCGGACCTGACCATGTTTGACGTCTTTTTTTCAGCAGACTCCATCTCACGACCTTCAGGACCACTTGCGGGAATCCCGACTCTTGACCCAGCAAAGGTCCAACGCCTCCTCCTCATTCTGCCTGACACTCTTATGTTGTGGTCCTCTTCCTCCTTCCTCCTTCTGCCTCTATCCTCTCCTTCTCCTTCCCCTCTCCTCCCGTCTCCTCCTCCCTCCCGACCTCTTCCCTCCGTCTGCACCTCACACTTCCTCTGAGCAGCATGAGCCCTTCATTTTTTTCGGATTCTTCAGGTTTCAACCTGACATGGAAGGAGACTGGGGTATCCACTTTCCCCCTACCCAGCTCTGCTCCTGCTCACCAGCTCTCTCCAGACGTGTTTGCGGCCCTCGACGATGGACTGCTGCCCCGAGCTGAAGGCCCAGCTGAGAAAGATCCTCCCGTCCAACCTCCCCAACAGACCCTTCCTCTGGTCCTCGCCATATTGAAAACTCCTGCTGGGACGCTGCTGACCCTCCAGCAGGAAAAGGGCGGTGTCGTTCAGCGGACGAGCCGGCGCGAAGCAGCGACACTACGACAAGATGCAGGTGGGCAGGAGGCTCCAGGAAGGGTCCCAGCACGAGTGGAGCAGTGGAACTTTGGCTTTTCCCCGCATGCGAACGGCCTCCTCCTTGACCCCGGTAGGGAGGAACAGCAAAGTCCTGGACTTCGAGGGGCTGAAGGGGGGACGGCCGCCTGTGCGGCAGGAGTTCGAGTCTGAAGAGATCGAGTAGCGGCTGCCGACTGTCTTGAGTGCTACTGGGCTGGCTGCCGGGGCTCGGGCAGTAAGAGAAGGAGGCAGAGAAGCTGTTGTACGCTGTTGTCGGTTAGGAGATGTGCGCTATCATGTGAGGAGAGCGATGTTCTGTCAGTTTGTTGAGAAATCAGGATGTTACATGTGTACAAGAAAGATTTTGAAAAGATTGCCAATGGTTGCCTCATCGAATCAAACTGCTCCTCCTCCTCAGCCGCTGCCTCTGTGTTCTCTTTGGCCGTTGCTGTGGGACCCTGTCCAGTGCCAGGAAGTCCATGTAGGAGAAGGAAGCCGCGAGGGGATAGACTGGACACCCTTCAGTCAGCAAAGGAGGAGCGCAAGAGGGAGAAGCGAGGGAGCGAGGGAACGAAGGAGGGGGAAGAGGCCCACCGGTCACGAGGCAGACAACAGATTGGACGAGCAGGTAACGTTTCGACCAGCCTGTGGCCTCGTCCTCCCCTGCGCTAACAGGGAACATCTTGAAATGTGTCAGAGTGAACAGGCCGTCTCGGTTGATTGAGCTCAGCAGAATCAGTGCCTGGCGATCTCACATCAGGCAAAACAACAAGGTCACGTTCCCGAGAGCTTCTGACCAGCAAAGAAGCGCCTTTGGGCACAACCCTGGCGGTGCAAGGAAGCAGCTGCAGGACTTGTTGGTTCTGCAGGACAAAGGAGAAAGTTGTGATTAAAAGGCAGACGCTCGACAACATGGGCAGCAGGTGCTGTAGAACCATCACAGCTTGAAGCGATCGGAAAGGATGCTCTGACCACGATTTCATACTTTCGTTGCTTGACAGCTGCGTACAGGACTGAAGCCAGTCGGATCAGAGGCCACTGTACACAAGATCAGCCTAGTAAGAAGGGGAAACGCAACCAGTACCAGCGCAGAAAGATACCATGCGATGGGCAGCTGGGACAGGGGGTCGTAAGGCAGCCTCTCGATGTCATGGTTCTTTCTCTCCCGGACTGAGAAGCGAATTCTCATGGCCGGCAGGGTGAGAGACAGGAAGGAGGCGTAGCAGATGGCCTCGCACGCGCCGCTGATAACCTCCAGGAACCTCTGTAAGAGCGAAGTCAAGAGAAGGTGCGGCGAAGGTGAAGTGTACAATGAAGGACGGGACAAAGGTCCCGATGATGATCTCGAGGTGGTAGATTGGAATCTGCGAGCAAGACACCCTTGAGACTTCTGTCATAGCAGATCGCATGGACATGGACCATGGCGAGGACCAGCAGGTTGAAACCCTGCATGCTGCTTTTCCACTGCATCACCTGAAGTTGGGCAGCATGAGGAGAGGAGGATGAATTTTGATGCCTTACATGGCAATGCATCGAGATGCTTATCAGTGGGAACGTGACTGAAATCAAGATGCCCGCTATGCAGAAGAAGGAATACTTCTCCTCTCCCCTCTGGTTGATCCTGCACATCCCCTTACCGACGGTCCGCGAGGTTACAGCAATCCTTAGCAACTTACAGGAACCAGATCGCGGAGAGGAACAGAGCCAGGGAAAGAAGCATCGACATGGCCACAAACAAGATCAGACTCGCAACCTGGCGTGCTGTTGACGGTCGGAGGAAGCTGATAGCTGGCGGTCTTTCTTGCTCCTCAAGAAATCCCAGCTCATCCTGCACCGACCAGATGCGACTGTGACGCTGCAGCCTTGTGTTCCTATCTTCCTGCTCTGCTAGATCCTGGCTGATGTCGAGCTCATCTGAGGTCTCAACATCCTTGAGCTCCGGAGGAGGGGCAGGCTGTAGATTGGCTCTTGCCTTGGTTGTTGGCTTCACGAACTGCGTCAAGGTAGCGCTCCCATGAAGCCATGGCGCCCTGCTCCACCTTTCATCTTCTTCCGATCGTCTTTCCTTGTCCTCGTCCGAGTCTGTTAGCAGGGTTTCATCCAACTCCACGTCTCCCCTCCTCGAAATTCGGATCGTCACTCCAGTCTCGTCCACTTCCTCCTCCACCACCCGAACTTCTGTCGTTGTGGCAACCCTGTCAACCTTCGATTCCTGGCTCATGGTACTCGTGGCAGGAGCAAGCGCCTTCTCTCGAGCCATGGCGATAGGTTCATGGCCCCAACATGCCGCTACACTTCACTTTGACTTGATGGCCCCGTCTAGCCGCTAATTTGTCACGGTGCTGCCTGGCATTAGTTTCACTGCGGCCGGCCGGGCCGCCGCACTGAGCTGAGGCCCTTCAGCCCGGCCGCTGGGGGGGCCGGGCCCCGCAGGGCGGCCCAGGGCCAGCCCAGGGCCCGCGGGCCCTGAGGCGAGCGAGCCCCACTAGTACGCCGTGTACCGTACGCACTAGTACGCCGTGTACCGTACGTCAGGAAGTCGGCGCGGCCCGCGCGGGAGTGGGCCTCAGTGCCAGGCCCTGATCGGGCCGGCGGACGGCCGGCCGGGCCCATCTAACGGTCACCGGGTCCCGGAGTCCCGTGGCAGGGGCGGGGGGGGCGGGGGGGGCCCGGGCCGGGGCGGTTTCCGAAATGGCAGTAAGAATCTAGCCCCGGGGTGCGGACCGGGACTCGGGAGTGCCAGCTGCCACGGAAGCCTGGCAGTGCTTCTTCCCCTGGCATCATCCGATGCGGCCAAACATCCTGAATGCTTGTTCCGTAGTATCCGATCATCGCCAGCAGTGATAAACTCTTGCAGGCCCGGCCCGATGATGCGTTGGGCTTTTCAAGTTTTGTCACTTAGCTGGCGGATCGCACGGGGAACAAGGAAATGTGTGACGGTAGCGGCGGCGGCCGAGTCAGCCTGTGGACTCCCGGATGGGCCCGGGCCGCCTCTCGGCCTCAGCCGGGCCTCGCAAGTGTGGCCTGTGCGACAGTGTCAGGGTCAAGCCTCCTCAACTCAGCCTCCTTAATTTTGAGTAAAGGTCACAGCAAGAAGTCAAAACTTTACGACTGTTGCGTCGGAGCATTTGGCGGTCACTGTCACGATCTCGACGGAGATCCGGAGGGAAGCCGCCGTGACTGTATTGAGCCCGGCAGTAAAGATACTACGTATGCTGACATGGAAGACTGGCCTCCGGGACTTGCTGCAGAGGGCTATTCCCCCTCTCAACTAGTGCTGTTCCTCGACTCAGTGACTCGTGTAGTAACTTAGCAGGGCTCTTCTCGCATCGATTCAACTTTAACGGCCACATTTTGCCCCTGCTCCGATCAGAACCCAGTCGCACGTTGAGATTTGTATACGGTGGCGCTCCGTTCTTGGCAAGTGCTCCCACTTGATAGCTTCGCCAGAGCACTTCTTTGCTCGTTGCCGTCTCCAAACCCCCATCTCAGTACCATCAGCCCCTCAAGCATACAGGTTCCATGGCGACACAACAGCCTCCTCACGCTACAGGACCCTCCGTCCTCATCCAAGCTCGCCCTCGTGCCTCCGACCAACGCAGGTACATCCGCCTGGACCTCCTCACTATCTCCTCCCTCTTCCACCTCCGACAGGTCGAGGCCGCTCGCATCCTGGTAAGATGTCGCTTGCTGAGAGAGGCGGAGAGGCAGAGAAGAGAGGAGGGCAGGAGCTGACGGGGAGGGCAGGGGATCTCGCTGACGTCGCTGAAGAGCGCGTGCCGGAGGCTGGGGGTCGAGCGATGGCCGTACACGCGGGATGCAACATCTCCTGACCGCACAGATCTCTTTGAAACGCCTGCGCGACACGTGACAGGATCAGAGCCAGACGTCGCCGCACTTGGAGCATCTCCGAGCGAGCAAGGATATGGTTTGCAGCAAGCGAGTGAGAGTAAGATAGATAGAGGATGGATGGACTGGTATCTGTCGTTTCCTGTGGATGATAAGGCCTCTAGCTGGGACGGCGAAGGATTTGAGGGCAATCCCCGCAAGCCCAGTTGGGACGCACACCACAATGACGCCCATGATCAAGATGTGAACGATCTGTGGAGCATTGGGCATGTAAAATATTCGTAGTATAGACTCTACTCTTACATGGTCTGAGACAACACAATAACGCACAGCGTCTGCCCTGTAGAGCATGGCAGAGACAGGTATCGTACATGCGAAGAAGCAAAGTCATCTGGGCTATCAAAGTGATTGGGTGGCCAGCTGTCTTGCCGGTCCGACGACAGACCGCGCGTCCTTGGTATAGGAGCTCAACGCCGACGGCAGGATATACAACTGTCGTCAACATGGGGACAACTAGGGCATGGACTCTTGGGAAACTAGCTTGACAGTAATCCAATGACACCTCAACGCAGTGCAAGTGGAAGGGTTGAAGATTGTCAACCCTTCCACCGAGATACTTGCGGACGAATGTCTTGGCTGCTGGGGTCTGACGAGCATCGCTGTCTTCAAAGTCCACCGCAGCTGATCGGATGCGCTTCACTGCATGAGGGCATGCGCCCAGTGGGCTGGAGCCCAGGGAGATGTCAAGACAACCAAATTGCAGTGACTGAGTACACATGGGAAAGGAAAGGGTCTGGATCAGCAAATCATGTCTTGACCAGGAAGTAGTCAGCCAGTAGGTGCTAGGCCGGGATATCGTCAGGTGGGTGTTGTGTGAAACTATCTCTCAGCATTCACGACAGAACAGCCGACAGGTCAGCCTGTGCTAGTCACAGCTGTATTTGTGATTTCGCGGATGTCTCAGTAGAGTCAAGGATGAATGTCTTCAGACATCTGTCAGCTATCTTCCTGTCTAGTCTCAATCGAAGGCCAAATGTCGTACTGGCCAGTACCTAGGAGGTTGTAGATACGTGCTGGTCATCTAACTTCCCTCCGGACGGTCCTTGTTGCTGATGATCTTCCTGCTGCTATGAGCAATCTCATCCCGGAGCCTTGAAGCTCCGGGCCAGTCGGAACCACCGGCTGACAGGCTGAGAGGTAGGTAGAGGAGCACTGTAGCACAACTGAGGATGCAAACACTTCAATGTCGTTTGTTGCGGGTGAGTGAAGATCGACGCTTCCAGCTCGTGATCATAGGCAGGCTGCGCAGCTTGTAAGGCAGCTGTTGTACTATCACGATGCTTGATATCGCACGGTGGCAGATTGAGCTACAGCATGTCTCTTTGTCATCTTCTTTACTTGCGTGGAAAGTTAACCCGATTGATAGGGGAATGCTTCATGGAGATATCTTAACCTCCGCTTCCCCTTCCTCTAAGGTCTCTTCCAGTGGAAAGGAAAGGTACCAATCCATCCACCTGTGCTCCCTCTCTTCTTCTGCTTCCAACTCTGCGTCTTGCCCTTGCTTTTCACTTGTCAATCCCTGCCCCGTGCCCTCCTCTTCCCTAGCTACTCCTTTAGCTTCCTGCACTGCCTCCCGCGTGTACGGCCATCGCTCGACCCCCAGCCTCCGGCACGCGCTCTTCAGCGACGTCAGCGAGATCCCCTGCCCTCCCCGTCAGCTCCTGCCCTCCTCTCGTCCTCTCCTCTCCGCCTCTCTGCCTCTCCGCCTTTCCGCCTCTCCGCTTCTCCTCCTCTCTCAGCAAGCGACATCTTACCAGGATGCGAGCGGCCTCGAGCTGTCGGAGGTGGAAGAGGGAGGAGATAGTGAGGAGGTCCAGGCGGATCTGATCACGTTGGTCGGAGGCACGAGGGCGAGCTTGGATGAGGACGGAGGGAGGAGCAGGAAGGTGTGTCGAAGTCATGTGCATACACGTTAGCAGTGGAGGACGAAGCTGAAGATGTCTTTTAAAAGCACTCCACAGTAGTGGAGGGGCGTGTTCGGGGGATACGAAAAGAAGTTTGTTCATAGTTCTTAGAGTCATCAGGATGACATGTCGACATGACTCAGTGAACCGTTGATTTTTGACAGTCAGATGGAGGAATGGCCCACTCAGCCTGGAGTCTGATGGGGGAATGGCCGCCCAAAGCTGGCTGGCCCCCTTAATGATACCGCAGGTGACCGTCACTGAGTTCAAGGTTACCTTGGCGGCAGGGAACGGCCGCGGCCAGCCGGGCGGCGGCCCGGCCCGGTCATCTCAGAGTCTCTCGGCGGCGGGTCCGAGGTTCCGGCGAGTCAGGCTGTCTATCCTGATCCGGGTCTTTCAAGCCTAAGGCTGAGTCCCGGAGTCCGGGCCGACCCTGATCGGACCGGCGGCCGGGCGTTTCAATGTGGCCCACCGCCGTGAGGCACCGGCAAGCCCCGGGGCCTGGCGGCGCCGACCGTACGGTCCGGTCAATCAAGGCTTGAATGACCCGGTTGCCAGGCTAGTCTGACACGCCGGACTCCGGCCGGGCGGCGACCCGGCGCTGTGACAACGGAAGTTGGCATTGAACTTGAAGCCTGTGACAGCCTGAGAGCAGCACAAGCCTTGAAGGCCGCTCTCACGGCGGCTTCCCTCCGGATCTCCGTCGAGATCGTGATGACTGTATTGAGCCCGCGGCAGTAAAGATACTCAGTCAAGTATGCTGACATGGAAGACTGGCCTCCGGGACTTGCTGCAGAGGGCTATTCCCCCTCTCAACTAGTGCTGTCCTCGTACTGATCTTTAACTTAACTTTGAGTAAAGAGCTTTTCCTCGACTAGCGTAGTAAAGCAGGGCTCTTCTCGCATCGATTCAACCTCAACACTTTTTTCTTTTTCAGTCAATAAAGAGTATGTTTGCCCCTGCTCTGATCAGAGCCCAGTCGCACGTTGAGATTTGTATACGGTGGCGCTCCAATCTTGGCAAGTGCTCCCACTTGATAGCTCCACCAGAGCACTACCTTGCTCGTTGCCGTCTCCAAACCCCCATCTCAGTACCATCAGTCCCTCAAGCATACAGGGCCAATGGCGACACAACAGCCTCCTCACGCTACAGGACCCTCCGTCCTCATCCAAGCTCGCCCTCGTGCCTCCGACCAACGCAGGTACATCCGCCTGGACCTCCTCACCATCTCCTCCCTCTTCCACCTCCGACAGCTCGAGGCCGCTCGCATCCTGGTAAGATGTCGCTTGCTGAGAGAGGCGGAGAGGCAGAGAAGAGAGGACGGCAGGAGCTGACGGGGAGGGCAGGGGATCTCGCTGACGTCGCTGAAGAGCGCGTGCCGGAGGCTGGGGGTCGAGCGATGGCCGTACACGCGGGATGCAACATCTCCTGACCGCACAGATCTCTTTGAAACGCCTGCGCGACACGTGACAGGATCAGAGCCAGACGTCGCCGCACTTGGAGCATCTCCGAGCGAGCAAGGATATGGTTTGCAGCAAGCGAGTGAGAGTAAGATAGATAGAGGGTGGATGGACTGGTATCTGTCGTTTCCTGTGGATGATAAGGCCTCTAGCTGGGACGGCGAAGGATTTGAGGGCAATCCCCGCAAGCCCAGTTGGGACGCACACCACAATGACGCCCACGATCAAGATGTGAACGATCCGTGGAGCATTGGGCATGTAAAATATTCGTAGTATAGACTCTACTCTTACATGGTCTGAGGCAACGCCATGACGCATAGCGTCTGCCCTGTAGAGCATGGCAGAGACAGGTATCGTACATGCGAAGAAGCAAAGTCATCTGGGCTATCAAAGTGATTGGGTGGCCAGCTGTCTTGCCGGTCCGACGACAGACCGCGCGTCCTTGATATAGGAGCTCAACGCCGACGGCAGGATATACAACTGTCGTCAACATGGGGACAACTAGGGCATGGACTCTTGGGAAACTAGCTTGACAGTAATCCAATGACACCTCAACGCAGTGCAAGTGGAAGGGTTGAAGATTGTCAACCCTTCCACCGAGATACTTGCGGACGAATGTCTTGGCTGCTGGGGTCTGACGAGCATCGCTGTCTTCAAAGTCCACCGCAGCTGATCGGATGCGCTTCACTGCATGAGGGCATGCGCCCAGTGGGCTGGAGCCCAGGGAGATGTCAAGACAACCAAATTGCAGTGACTGAGTACACATGGGAAAGGAAAGGGTCTGGATCAGCAAATCATGTCTTGACCAGGAAGTAGTCAGCCAGTAGGTGCTAGGCCGGGATATCGTCAGGTGGGTGTTGGGTGAGACTATCTCTCAGCATTCACGACAGAACAGCCGACAGGTCAGCCTGTGCTAGTCACAGCTGTATTTGTGATTTCGCGGATGTCTCAGTAGAGTCAAGGATGAATGTCTTCATATACCTGTCAGCTATCTTCCTGTCTAGTCTCAATCGAAGGCCAAATGTCGTACTGGCCAGTACCTAGGAGGTTGTAGATACGTGCTGGTCATCTAACTTCCCTCCGGACGGTCCTTGTTGCTGATGATCTTCCTGCTGCTATGAGCAATCTCATCCCGGAGCCTTGAAGCTCCGGGCCAGTCGGAACCACCGGCTGACAGGCTGAGAGGTAGGTAGAGGAGCACTGTAGCACAACTGAGGATGCAAACACTTCAATGTCGTTTGTTGCGGGTGAGTGAAGATCGACGCTTCCAGCTCGTGATCATAGGCAGGCTGCGCAGCTTGTAAGGCAGCTGTTGTACTATCACGATGCTTGATATCGCACGGTGGCAGATTGAGCTACAGCATGTCTCTTTGTCATCTTCTTTACTTGCGTGGAAAGTTAACCCGATTGATAGGGGAATACCTCATGGAGATATCTTAACCTCCGCTTCCCCTTCCTCTAAGGTCTCTTCCAGTGGAAAGGACAGGTACCAATCCATCCACCTGTGCTCCCTCTCTTCTTCTGCTTCCAACTCTGCGTCTTGCCCTTGCTTTTCACTTGTCAATCCCTGCCCCGTGCCCTCCTCTTCCCTAGCTACTCCTTTAGCTTCCTGCACTGCCTCCCGCGTGTACGGCCATTGCTCGACCCCCAGCCTCCGGCACGCGCTCTTCAGCGACGTCAGCGAGATCCCCTGCCCTCCCCGTCAGCTCCTGCCCTCCTTTCCTCTCCGCCTCTCCGCCTCTCCGCCTCTCCGCCTCTCCGCCTCTCCGCTTCTCCTCCTCTCTCAGCAAGCGACATCTTACCAGGATGCGAGCGGCCTCGAGCTGTCGGAGGTGGAAGAGGGAGGAGATAGTGAGGAGGTCCAGGCGGATCTGATCACGTTGGTCGGAGGCACGAGGGCGAGCTTGGATGAGGACGGAGGGAGGAGCAGGAAGGTGTGTCGAAGTCATGTGCATACACGTTAGCAGTGGAGGACGAAGCTGAAGATGTCTTTTAAAAGCACTCCACAGTAGTGGAGGGGCGTGTTCGGGGGATACGAAAAGAAGTTTGTTCATAGTTCTTAGAGTCATCAGGATGACATGTCGACATGACTCAGTGAACCGTTGATTTTTGACAGTCAGATGGAGGAATGGCCCACTCAGCCTGGAGTCTGATGGGGGAATGGCCGCCCAAAGCTGGCTGGCCCCCTTAATGATACCGCAGGTGACCGTCACTGAGTTCAAGGTTACCTTGGCGGCAGGGAACGGCCGCGGCCAGCCGGGCGGCGGCCCGGCCCGGTCATCTCAGAGTCTCTCGGCGGCGGGTCAGGTTCCGGCGAGTCAGGCCACCGGCGAGCCCCGGGGCCTGGCCGCGGCGCCGACGGTCCGGTCAATCAAGGCTTGAATGACCCGGTTGCCAGGCTTTGACACCGCCGGACTCCGGCCGGGCGGCGACCCGGCGCTGTGACAACGGAAGTTGGAATTGAACTTGAAGCCTGAAAGCGGCCTTCAAGGCTTGTGCTGCTCTGTCACAGCAAGAAGTCAAAACTTCACGACTGTCGCGTCGGAGCATTTGGCGGTCACTGTCACGATCTCGACGGAGATCCGGAGGGAAGCCGCCGTGACTGTATTGAGCCCGGCAGTAAAGATACTCAGTCAAGTATGCTGACATGGAAGACTGGCCTCCGGGACTTGCTGCAGAGGGCTATTCCCCCTCTCAACTAGTGCTGTCCTCGTACTGATCTTCAACTTAACTTTGAGTAAAGAGCTTTTCCTCGACTAGCGTAGTAAAGCAGGGCTCTTCTCGCGTCGATTCAACTTCAACACTTTTTTCTTTTTCAGTCAATAAAGAGTCTGTTTGCCCCTGCTCTGATCAGAGCCCAGTCGCACGTTGAGATTTGTATACGGTGGCGCTCCAATCTTGGCGAGTGCTCCCACTTGATAGCTTCGCTAGAGCACTACCTTGCTCGTTGCCGTCTCCAAACCCCCATCTCAGTACCATCAGTCCCTCAAGCCTGGCATACAGGTCCCATGGCGACACAACAGCCTCCTCACGCTACAGGACCCTCCGTCCTCATCCAAGCTCGCCCTCGTGCCTCCGACCAACGCAGGTACATCCGCCTGGACCTCCTCACTATCTCCTCCCTCTTCCACCTCCGACAGGTCGAGGCCGCTCGCATCCTGGTAAGATGTCGCTTGCTGAGACTCCGAAGCGGAGAGGCAGAGAGGAGAGGAGGGCAGGAGCTGACGGGGAGGGCAGGGGATCTCGCTGACGTCGCTGAAGAGCGCTTGCCGGAGGCTGGGGGTCGAGCGATGGCCGTACACGCGGGATGCAACATCTCCTGACCGCACAGATCTCTTTGCCTTGAAACGCCTGCGCGACACGTGACAGGATCAGAGCCAGACGTCGCCGCACTTGGAGCATCTCCGAGCGAGCAAGGATATGGTTTGCAGCAAGCGAGTGAGAGTAAGATAGAGAGAGGATGGATGGACTGGTATCTGTCGTTTCCTGTGGATGATAAGGCCTCTAACTGGGACGGCGAAGGATTTGAGGGCAATCCCCGCAAGCCCAGTTGGGACGCACACCACAATGACGCCCATGATCAAGATGTGAACGATCTGTGGAGCATTGGGAATGTAAAATATTCGTAGTATAGACTATACTCTTACATGGTCTGACTCAACGCCATAACGCCACAGCGTCTGCCCTGTAGAGCATGGCAGAGACAGGTATCGTACATGCGAAGAAGCAAAGTCATCTGGGCTATCAAAGTGATTGGGTGGCCAGCTGTCTTGCCGGTCCGACGACAGACCGCGCGTCCTTGATATAGGAGCTCAACGCCGACGGCAGGATATACAACTGTCGTCAACATGGGGACAACTAGGGCATGGACTCTTGGGAAACTAGCTTGACAGTAATCCAATGACACCTCAACGCAGTGCAAGTGGAAGGGTTGAAGATTGTCAACCCTTCCACCGAGATACTTGCGGACGAATGTCTTGGCTGCTCAGGTCTGACGAGCACCGCTGTCTTCAAAGTCCACCGCAGCTGATCGGATGCGCTTCACTGCATGAGGGCATGCGCCCAGTGGGCTGGAGCCCAGGGAGATGTCAAGAGTGACTGAGTACACATGGGAAAGGAAAGGGTCTGGATCAGCAAATCATGTCTTGACCAGGAAGTAGTCAGCCAGTAGGTGCTAGGCCGGGATATCGTCAGGTGGGTGTTGGGTGAAACTATCTCTCAGCATTCACGACAGAACAGCCGACAGGTCAGCCTGTACTAGTCACAGCTGTATTTGTGATTTCGCGGATGTCTCAGTAGAGTCAAGGATGAGTGTCTTCATATACCTGTCAGCTATCTTCCTGTCTAGTCTCATTCAAAGGCCAAATGTCGCACTGGCCAGTACCTAGGAGGTTGTAGATACGTGCTGGTCATCTAACTTCCCTTCGGACGGTCCTTGTTGCTGATGATCTTCCTGCTGCTGTGAGCAACCTCAGTCCGGAGCCTTGAAGCTCCGGGCCAGTCGGAACCACCGGCTGACAGGCTGAGAGGTAGGTAGAGGAGAACTCCAGCACAACTGAGGATGCAAACACTTCAATGTCGTTTGTTGCGGGTGAGTGAAGATCGACGCTTCCAGCTCGTGATCATAGGCAGGCTGCGCAGCTTGTAAGGCAGCTGTTGTACTATCACGAAGCTTGATATCGCACGGTGGCAGATTGAGCTACAGCATGTCTCTTTGTCCTCTTCTTTACTTGCGTGGAAAGTTAACCCGATTGATAGGGGAATACCTCATGGAGATATCTTAACCTCCCCTTCCCCTTCCTCTAAGGTCTCTTCCAGTGGAAAGGAAAGGTACCAATCCATCCACCTGTGCTCCCTCTCTTCTTCTGCTTCCATCTCCGCGTCTTGCCCTTGCTTTTCACTTGTCAATCCCTGCCCCGTGCCCTCCTCTTCCCTAGCTACTCCTTTAGCTTCCTGCACTGCCTCCCGCGTGTACGGCCATTGCTCGACCCCCAGCCTCCGGCACGCGCTCTTCAGCGACGTCAGCGAGATCCCCTGCCCTCCCCGTCAGCTCCTGCCCTCCTCTCGTCCTCTCCTCTCCGCCATTCCGCCTCTCCGCCTCTCCGCTTCTCCTTCTCTCTCAGCAAGCGACATCTTACCAGGATGCGAGCGGCCTCGAGCTGTCGGAGGTGGAAGAGGGAGGAAATGGTGAGGAGGTCCAGGCGGATGTACCTGCGTTGGTCGGAGGCACGAGGGCGAGCTTGGATGAGGACGGAGGGAGGAGCAGGAAGGTG